TATATATATATATATATATATAATTATTTTTTATTTAGTATGAAACTTAACAGTAACATTCATATATTTAATATTTGGATTGACTTGGATTTCATACAAGGGTAATCCTAACTAATTGGGATTGTCTCTCTTCATTTGAAAGGTCAAATAATTTGGATGGTTGCACTATATAGTCATAGTGTAATATTAATATAGGGGTTGCGTTTGAACTTTGATTCAATGTTTTCATAGAAATGACTATACATCGAGTTGACTTATCTGCAAATCAATCTTCTGGATCATGTAAAATTAAGGCTTTGGGATTTGATTTTCACTTTTTCTCGGAATCCTAACCTTAGTATTTAAATTAATTAAAGAAAGAATATATGTATGGATTTCCTATTACACCTAAAAGGAGGAAAAATTCTCTCATGTTATCTGGGTATATAGCACACCTTGTTAGAGTAATTAAAATACGAAAATTTCTACATAAAGCGATAAAAGTTAGGCGCCCATCTCAATTGAGGTTCTAATGTTAAGTAGTCAAAATGAAGGCCATGCATCGATGAGCCATCATTATCTTCAAGAGAATACTCGGAGTTCTCAACAAATTATAGTAACTAATTTCCACGTCAATGGTCAATTTCCTGCAAGATTTTTGGGGGAGAAATTAATGCAACTCAGTAGACCAACTTTGGAACTAAACAGCTGATATATTACTAGTCAAAACTATGGTAAACCAAATATTATTTATTTTTTAGGTCATGTCATGTTTAATTTGAGTTCAAAGTTCATGGCTCACAACAACAACAAAATTGTCATTAATATATAATTTTTTAACTACGATATAATTATTCGAATATTTATTTAACTATAGCATTTGTCTAAGAAATTAAATTGTGAATAGATATTATAAGTCTACATTATTGTTATTATGATGCATAGTACGTGAGCATTTGGTATATTGTTAGTATATACTAATAATATTTTATGTTAACAAAATTGTTTGATAATATGCTACTTATATTTTACTGTTAATTAGTATAAATCCACGGTGTTTATTTCACCCAAAAATAAATCCATGGTGTTTATATTAATAGATTATAGTTTTATTATGCAAAAATTAATTAAACTAATTCATGGTAATAACCAGTACAAAACACAGTCACTTGATCATGAAACTAAAGTGAATCCTTTACGCATAAAACATCATCTTCAGATATGTTGCCTCGAAGAAAGAAACTATAAAAAGAGAAATGAAATCTAATCCTAATTCCTGCAGATTCCAAAAGCTTGGATAAAAAGAACCCACATAGGATTCCAAAGGATAAAATACAAGAACAAATCTGAAGCTGGGATATGCATAGTCGCAAAGGTCTAATTCTTGATGGGTCCTATTTCCTACACGCCTAAGGTTTAGTTTATGGAATGGTTTTTGGTTGGCATGGTATAGTAGCCCACAAATATATAACCCCTAAAGTAAGCAAACCTTACTCATTTTAGTCAACTAAATGGGTAAAATGGGCAATTTATGTGCTATTCTTCCATAGCTTTAGATTTGGGTTTGGAATAAAGAGAGATTGAAAAGAGACATTTGTAAATTCTCGTTAGTGGGGGGGGGGGGGTTCCTTGTTTTCTCCA